TCTATTCATTCATTTTCCTTTAGCGATCGCCCCCGTCGCCCTATAACGTTTTCATATAAACTGTATATCCTCTCCTCCTTCCCCCATAACCAAACCCTGACAGCATCAATTTAAATTTTTACATTCATCAATCTTGTTCCCCACGCTGACACAGGTCCCCATGAGTCTGTGTGCATTCATGTTTAAGTCCCCAGTGTGTTATAAAAACAAGTACACCCTACATACACACACATTTGTTTTTGAATTCCTCCGGGTGCTCCGGTTTCCCCCACAGTCCAAACACATGCACTATAGGGGAATTGGGTAGGCTACATTGTCTGTAGTGTATGAGTGTGAGTGAGTGAGTGTGTGTGGGTGTTTCCCAGAGATGGGTTGCAGCTGGAAGGGCATCCGCTGCGTAAAAACGTGCTGGATAAGTTGGCGGTTCATTCCGCTGTGGCGACCCCGGATTAATAAAAGGACTAAGCTGAAAAGAAAATGAATGAATTGCAAATTATCAAAATTTAATTAATTAATTAATTTTCTTTTCGGTTTAGTCCCTTTATTAATCTGGGGTCGCCACAGCGGAATGAACCGCCAACATGCTAGTCTTCTTTTTTTTTTTTTTTTTTTTACAATTTGGACAAAGTATCTAAAGGTTAATCAATAAAGACATTTTTCACAGCGTTTCTTGTTCATGTTAATCAATATTACTGGACATGTTCAGTGTGTTGAGCATCTTCTGATCAGACTCTTGTGTTTCAGGGCTGAAGGAAAGCTCTCGAATGTCTCACGCTGACTCCGCCCTCCTTGCTGACATCATGGATGAAGCCCGCAGGCAGGTGGGTGTGGTCTACAGCCAGGACAGCCAATGAGCTCCCACCACTACTGCTGCTCATTAACATAAAACTGTGAAACAGACCAATAAAAGACTTCTGCTGCTCTTTTTTTTTGAATGAACTCAGGCTCAGAATAAAACCGGAAGTTTAATACTGTAAATGTGTTTCTGATTAATTCTCCACCTAAACTACACAACATGATGCTGAACACACATTTTGGTTAAATGATAATATTTCTTGTTTCCCTTTGGATGCTTTAGTTCATAGTTGCATTAATGGAGCATTTATTTAAACAACAATTGCATCAAAAAAAAGATCATGGCACTAATGAACTCCTCTTGGTTTGTGCTGAGTGTCTGCTGTTTATTAGTGTGCAGATGCTCTTATATAAGTGACCTTGAGCTGAAACAAAGCCTGCATTCAGACAAACACTTCAGACCAGCTCCTATTAAAAACTGAAGACAAACTGCATAAGAAATGATCATCTGAACAACAACTTCCATTCATTCATTCCTTCATTTATTTTCAGCTTAGTCCCTTTATAAATCTGGGGTCTCCACAGCGGAATGAACCGCCAACTTATCCAGCATATGTTTTACACAGTGGATGCCCTTCCAGCTGCAACCCAGTACTGGGGAACTGAAAAAGAACTTAAGTTCAAATAATGAACATTGTTTTTTTGTTTATTCTTAAATAATATTTGTTTTCCCTTTTTTTTTTTACTGATTTCCAAAATATTTAATCTAAAAAAAATGTTTTCTTATTCTTGATGCATTTTTTTTGGACAGTATAAAAAGGATAGCTCTAGTCCCAAACATGAAAATCCTTTATCCAGGACAATAATGAAAAAGTCAATAACTCTCAAAATGTTCATTGATTTTTATTTTTCAGCTTAGTCCCTTTTATTCATCAGGGGTCGCCACAGCAGAATGAACCACCAACTTATCCAGCATATGTTTTACACAGTGGATGCCCTTCCAGCTGCAACCCAGTACTGGGAAACAGCCATACACATTCACACTCATATAAATTCCCCTATAGTGCATGTGTTTGGACTGTGGGGGAAACCGGAGCAAACCCACACCAACATGGGGAAAACATGCAAACTCCACACAGAAACACCAACTGACCCAGCTGAGACTCGAACCAGGGATGTTCTTGCTGTGAGGTCGCAGTGCTGAACACTGAACCACTATCACCCATCTAAAGATGTTTTCCCAGTTAAAATAAAGTTAACTCAATAATTAAAGTCCAACCCTTTATGACTTTATTCTGTTGAACACAAGAAGATATTTTGAAGAATGCTGGAAACTTGTAATCATGTTTTTCCTCGGTTGGAAGTCAATGGTTGCAGGTTTTCAGCTCTCTTTAATACCTTCTTTCAAAACTTACAAGTCAGGTTTGGAGCAAGTAAAACGTGAGTAAATTTTTCATTTTTGGGTAAACTGTACCCATTTAGACCATAGTTTGGCCCTGAAATGACACTTTGGCACTGTCCTTCAAACCACCTGGTTTTACTCATTTGTCAACAAGAAGCTTTTAAGAGTTTAATAAAATTGAGTCTGAACGTTTATGTGACTGGAGAAAGAGGATCCCTGATTAAAGTGGAATGATCCACCAACACAGTGGAGTTCAACGCTCTGTGGTAACCCCAGATTACAGTTTCTCTCACAGCACTGTTTACATTTACACAACAGTTGGTCATTTGTGCACATCACAGTAGCAGTTTCTCATTCCTTCCCACAAATGTCAAATGCTTTTGGACATGCACCTACTGCTTTCACACAACTCACTGCTGTTTATATCATCTGCTTATATCATGTCAGTCAAAATGAACTGAACCTGTGTATGCTGACTAGCCGTTCCATATACAAAAGTCCTCATTTCACTAGTGGAGTCATCACATACACACATGCTGAACTAGTGTCAAAACATGTCCTGCACATTTTATAACATTAAATTTTTTTTCTAACAGAAAATGTTTCCTTAATTGAACAATTTCATGAGTGATTTACAGACCTGTGTGTGTGTATGTTGGTTCAGTTCCAGTATGCACTGCGATATTGTTTCCAGTTGTGCACAGCTCCACCCAAGGGAAGTGTATGTTTGCTGTAAATAAGGCTTTATTTATTAATTTGCACAATGCTGTGAATACAGTAGAAATGTAAAGAGCATATATGGAGTAGAAATGTGATATATTCAGTGTCTTATACTCAGATACGTCACTAATGCAGTGATGTAGAACTGTACTGTAGTCTTCAAAGGGCTGTGCTAATAGTATACAGTGCTGTCTTGAGCATTTTCAGGACGTCTCACCAACATCTGACATTTTTGCATTGAAAACCATGTCCAGAGTAAACTGACAATGAAAACACGACAAAGCCATTTGAAATCATGTTCATAAACAACTCTTCAACTTGATCACACTGACACTTTCATTGACATCAATACTTTATTTTAAGGAATGAGCTGTTCATTTTGAGCAAGTGACTTGCTTTTTCCTGTTATCAACTAGGTTTTGCAGTTTGTACCAATTGTTTTGATAAATGCATGAACTGCTGTGCAAGTGTAAATAGTGATGTGCGAAATGCACCGAAGTGACTGAGAAAACCTGTAATAAAGGGACTCAGCTGAAGAGAAAATGAATGAAATGTAACTTACCCATGGCAACTTTAATGTAAAATAGTTTGTTATATTTACCTTCAGCCCACAGATCTCAACGAGATTTGGATGTTGGCCCTTTATACCAAACTGTTTGAGCACCCCTGATCTAAAAATTATGCCTTCTAAATATTATATGTCTCGCTACAATCCAACCTGCTGTTTAACCAGTTAAACTCTTTTGGCATTTCCACCTGGATTTTGCCTATCCAAATTTAAAAGCTTCCCAAATCCACATGCAGAGGTCTAAATGCAAAAATTTGGCATCATTTTAAAGAAAACCCTTTAAATTTTCATAAAACACTGTTTAAAGTGTTTAAAATGTCTGTATATGTTGACTGTGTTTTAATAAACACCTAAAAAAAAGAGGCGCTTTTTTATTTTTATAAACTCAAATCTTTGTACCTTTTAGGTTGTGTGTGGTCTAGCGTGCTGTAATTAATGTTGGTGGTTCCTGCACATGTCTGTAATCATAGGAAAACAGAAAAATGTCTCCACCATAATATATGCAGAAGTTATTGTATTCCAACTGATGAGAGGTGCTGTACAAGCCACAGGGAGCGATCATTGTTTTCATATTTCACTATTCTTTTGTTTGATCAAACATAATTCACTGTGTTTGGAGCACATCAGACATATAAAAGCATTACTTATGCACATCAGCTCAAAAACAGAGGAGAATGGCCCTGAAGCGCACAGCATAAGGCAAGAGATGACAGCTGTCTGTGCTATCTGGGGCTGCTTATTGATCATAAATGTATTGTTTTCACTTCTGCACCATGGAAACACCGCGATTCATTCAACAACTGTTTGATATGTGAATATAATTCAGTAAAAAGAATGCTAGAACCGTATGAGCACCGGCAAGAGCTTTCATTTGAGCTATAACTTGTACATGTGTCAGATGAAAAATATGAAAATTAACCTATGTAAAATACCCAGCTCGGGTATCCAAAATACTGTGTGTTTAAGTGTAAATATCTTTTGTACAGTAGAATAAAACCAAAGTGATGCATATGTGCATAAAATATAGATTCTACACTTTCAAACAAAACCACTTACAGGGGTCTGGTGCAATGCTAGCCCTTTAAATCTGAAAGCGAAAGTTGATGGTGTCACAGACCCAGTACCGGGTCAGTGGCGTTTAACTAGTTATCATCCAATAACTCAGGGCTTCTGAAAGTAACCAGGATAGCAAAGTCCACTAAAGGAGGTCAAGCCTTTTCATTTATGGCTCCTAAACTCTGGAATAGGCTTCCTGATAATATCTGAGGCTCAGTCACACTCTCTCAGTTCAAAACTAGACATTAGACTGATAACCTTAGCTTTTCTGATTGTAATGCAGTAATGTGCACCTTTTGTAAAGCTGTTTTGAAATCATAATTATTGTAAAAAGCACCATACAAATACACTGGAATTGATTATTAGTTTGACACAGTAGTTCTTAAAACACAGCCGAGTCTTACTAAATTGATCACCATTAATATATCTGAATGTAATAAATCAGCAGTGGAGTCCAGACAAGTGCTCGTCTCCTTTATTAATTCAGTCTCCAGTAATACAACACTTCAGAATGAGACTATAGATTACTCTTATAGTTAGTACATCTTGCACTCTAGCGACACAAAGCAGGTAGATCTAAACACACACTCTCATTCATTCATCAAACACACACACAAACACACACTCACGTGAGCAGCGGAGACGGGGTTATACAGCAGAGGATGCTGGGAATGATTAATATTCACCCCTCCTTTACTCCACAGCTGAAATGAGGCGGACGCGAGACATCCAAACATTTCAGAAAATATATGAATATATAACGATCTCGGGGTCGAGTGCAAACACACAATGTAACATCGTCAGGAGTGTGAACACAAATAAAAGCACACAGACAGAGAAACACTACTAATATAACCGTTACAGGTTACAGCTGATTGAGCATTCGCCACCCATCCCTGCGCTTCACCATGCGGACAGACAAGACACAAACCAGACAGACAGCTCGGGTTTCATGTGTGTGTGAGATAAACAGGAGATTATAGATGAATAAAAAAACAAAACAAGTGAGAACAACCAATCAAATATGAGGATGATGGGACACCAACCAATCAGGAGAGAGGATGATGATCCACTGACCAATCAGGGGAAGAAGATAACAGGGTGGTCCACTGGCCTTGTGTTTTCTGCTGGAGTGGGGTTTGTGTGATGTATGGAGGAGTGATGTATGAACAGCAGAGGGGTTTTAACGGTTTTACGGCACTGGGACGACACGCATGGTGTTGGTGTATCCAGAGCCGGGACGCCAGCCAGTCAGAACGATCACCACATCACCAGCCTTGAAGAATCCACGAGCTTTACCTGAGAGAGAGAGAGAGAGAGAGAGAGAGAGAGAGATGAAAAATGTGAAAACTATTTAAAATAAAAATAACAATTAAAATAAAAAAAGTGAGTTCGTTCTCTCTCAAACTATTTTTAAACCATTTCATGTTGAGTTGTGAAATTTTCTTCATTCTCTACTACTGCTTTTATGACAACTACTACTACAACAACATCAACGACGACAACAGCAACAACGACGACGACTACTACGACGACAACAACTACTACTAATACAACGAAAACTACTACGTTGACAGACTATGACGACAACTATTATGCCGACAACTACTACAACGCCGACTTCAAAAACTACTACAACGACTACAATTGCTAGTACTACTATTACTACTAAGACGACAACTACTACAACGACGACAACTACTACGTTGACAGACTATGACGACAACTATTATGTTGACAACTACTACAACGCCGACTTCGAAAACTACTACAACGACTACAATTGCTAGTACTACTATTACTACAACTATTACTATGACGACTACTATTACGACAACTACTATAACGATGAAGAAGAATACTACTACTACTACTACTACTACTACTACTACTACAACAACAACAACATGACGAAGGCTATTACTACAATGACTACATTTATTACTACGACGACTACAACTGCTACTTTGACATCGACTACTTCTATGAAGACAACTATTACGCCGACAACTACTACAACGTCGAAAACTACTACGAAGACGACTACAATTGCTAGTACTACTATTACGACAACTATTACTATGACGACTACTACTACAACAACTACTACGACTATGGACTACTACAATGACAACTACTACAACAAAAACTACTACTACAATGATGAAGAACACTACTACTATTAACAACAACAACTACGATGACGACGGCAATTACTACTACGACAACATTTATTACTACAACTACTACTACAACGACTACTTTGACATCAACTATTATGCCGACAACTACAACAACGACTTTGACGACTACTACAACGACAACTACTACTACAATTACTAGACAACAACGACGACTACTGCTAATACTACTACTACAACAACAACAACCACAATGACAACTACTACTACGATGACAACGACTACTACTATGACGACAACTATTATGCTACTAATACAACTACTAGACAACTACTACTACAACTGCTACTACTACTATTAACAACTACTACTATGATGACTACTATTACGGCTACTACTATTACAACAATTACTACTATTACGACAACTACTACAACCACAACTACTATGAATGACAACTACTACAATGATGAAGAATACTACTACGACAACGACTACTACTACTACGATGACGGCGGCAACTACTACATTTTACTGTGTTTAGCAATAGTCCCATAATTATGTCAAAAATGTAATTTCTCTGCATATTTGATTGTTTGCAAGGACACTTGAGTACCTGTTTTTATTTGTCAGCCTGAAGTAAAATGCTATATTTAGTGACTCGGTTGACAGTGAAACTGCAAATGAGCATCACAAACGTCACTCTACTAAAATACTTTAAAATGTATAAAACTACTTGATTTGAAGAATTTCATTGTAATTCTTGTTAACTAATCAAGCTTGATCTGCAATTTTAGCAGTATAATACAAATATTATCTTTTAGCTCAGTATGAACAAAGCTTTAAGGCTGAAATTAAACTTTAGCGCATATTTAGTTACTGTAAAGCAATCTGAAAATGTTGGGCATTCTGCAGAATTTAGACAACTTACCGACATCCATGGCGAAGTTGACCCTCAGGTCCACGTCCTCGGCCCACACATCATTAGATGGGCTGTTGTAGTATATGGGGAAAATACCACGGTAAAGATGAGCCTGTCGAGCCGTCTGTTCATTACGAGTCACCGCTAGGATTGGAGCGCGAGGACGATACCGAGAGATCAGATGCGCAGACCTGCCAAACACACACACAGACAGTCAATAAACAACATCAAACTGTGATTCTGAATGTTTCTAATTATTATTCTTTGAGACTCCAATTGAACTAAAAGCTGGATTCTGCTCTGTGCTGTCCTCAGTTCACACAAACACACATGCACAGACATTCAGGGTAAAAAAGGAGAATAAAGATCAAAAATTGCTCTTAATGAACACAGACAACATCAGCACCCCTACTTGATTTTTCTATGACAATTTGATAAATGACAACAGAAATAAATGATGTGTCTTCTGTGATGTTGATTTGCACTCAAGACAGATTTTTATAAAGTGAAAGACAAAGCATTGACTGTCATAATGAGTCAATTCCAGTAATTAAAGCTAAATAAATACCCCTGTATGATTTTTGTAAGCAACCCTGGACCAAAAAGTCATGTTAATCGTTTTTGAATATACAATCTAAAAGCTGAATAGATCTTACCATTGATGCATGTGTGTGTTATGATAGGAGAGTATTTGAAAATACTGGCAAGACAAATATCACCTTGCAAGTTGTCCAAATCAAGTTTTCAGCAAAGCATTGCATATTACTGATTAAAAATTAAGTTCATATATTTACATGAGGAAATGTACAACATTTCTTCATGAACATGATCCTTATATAATATTCTAATGATTCTTTGGCATAAAATAAAAGTGGAAAATAGAACTCATGTTAAACAGTGTATTTTCTGGCTATTCCTACAAATACACCATCATAAGATAGCAAGGAAATTAATTTAGATGCGTTTACAATTTGTAAATCTATGATGACATGACATTGCATTCACAAATTTACATAATTGATGCTTTTAAAATGAATGCATGTAAAAACACCTACAACGTTACAAAAAAATAAATGCACAATTAATCTAAAACAAATGCTGTAATTTAGCTTTATATTATGATTAAAAAAAAAACTATCCTGATAACTTTCCACAAGATTTAATATTACGAAATCCGGCTTGATCAGGGGTGCCCAAATGGTGTCCTGCAGATTTTAGCTCAATCTTGCTTCAACACACCTGCATGGATGTTTCTAGAAAGCCTAGTAATGTCGCGGTCACATTAGTGCAGTGGTTCTCAAACTGTGGTATATGTACCACTAGCGGTATGCGGATCATATGTACATGCTACATATATTTAAATAAATTATCAAAAATAATTTAAATATGAATATGATGACATGAAGCCTATATTTTCGAGGTCCAGGCAACATTTACAGATGCTGATAAACCTGGAGTTTTTTCTTTTTTTACTTTAAGAACAGTAACCTACCGTTTTTAACTTTTAAAAGCACATTTTAATTTAAATGTTCTTAATATTGGGAACTAATATGCCTCGTTTTTGAACTGTACAGAGCTTTAGCTGCTTTACTGGACCTAATATGCTATTGTATTTCAATACTGCTCATTATGGTGGTACTTGCAAAGACAACTTTTTTTCTGAGGTGGTACTTGATGTAAAACGTTTGAGAACCACTGCATTAGAGTGTGCATGCGAGAGTCTGTTGTATGACGCTGCGAAAAGGGGCGGGATTAAATAGGATGATTAGACATTTTAAAAAAAGCAAGCGATTGGTCCATGTTTTAAATTTCTGTACAGAGAGGTCATGTTTTGATTGTTTTTAATTGGTCTCACGCAATCATGCGATGCAATTTCGGAGTTTACCAAGCTTGAACTTTCCAACGCAGCGAACTGTGAAACTTGTCGCACAAGCTCGCGTTTATGGTCGGACGCATTCACGTGCGTATGAATGAAAGTCTATGGGGAGAAAAGTCCAGTGTGACCGCGGCTTAAGAGCTTCATTGGCTAGCCCAGGTGTGTCTGATTTGGGTTGGAATGTCACCAAGTGTCACCATTTAAAATTAAAGTGCAACTTTTCGCTTCTAAAGGTCTTATTTCTCATCGTCATAAATTTAAATATTAACATATGACAGCTGAGTGGAATCCAACTCGCACGTATTTTGGTCAGTTTAGAAACTTCGCTGTGTGAAAGTGAACCACACCAGGAACAACACTAACAATCTTAATCCCTATTTCGAAACAAAACAATTGATAGGTGTGAATGCACTCTTAAACCCACCACATCGCATTGGCTCTTCAATCTTACCTGTCCTGCTCTGTCTCTCTCTCTTCCCCTTACCTGCCGGTTTTGGTGAGTATGATGATGCCGCTGGCGCAGCATTTGAAGGAAGCCTCGACGGCTCCCACAGCGACTGCATCTGAAGGGTCACGGGTCAGAACAGAGGAGCGTCTCAGACCCTCAAACAGCTGCCGGTGGAAGGTGGCGGCCTCTGCCTCACGGGCAATCTGACAGCGCCATCCGATGGAAGGAGGATTACACACAATCACACCAGCAAACACTCAGACTGAGAGAAATACTGACACACACACAAACATGAATGCATTCACTAGTCCAAAATTTTCAAATAAATTTCTTTTTAGCATTAACTTCAATAAAAAAGACCAATTTTAAATGTAATTAAACTATATATACATCAAGTAAAATAAAAAGCATTTTAATTTTAACCCTCTAACTGTCAGTACCCCCTTTTGAACAGACGTTAAAATGATGCAAAGATTTCAATACATTTTTTAAATTATCTTTTAAAATACAAGAATCAAATCTTATATACATGCATGTTACAAAATAATAATGTTATTTTATTGCACTATAAAATAACTATTCAAAAGTAGGTTATAATTTAATTTAATCGTTTATTTCAGTGATTTTAATGGTGGATTTTCAGCTTTATTACTCTAATCTTCAGTTACAGGATCCTTCAGAAATCACTCTAATATCGTGCTATTATTATTAATATTACCAATTTTTAATATTACTATTATTAATATTACAATTATTATTATTATTAATAATGGTAATAGTAATAAAAGCAATAATGACTGAAGTAATAATTTCATTTGAAACTACACGTAATTAATAAATAAATATTTAATAAGTATTTACTCATTTAAAAAATTACATTTAATAAATGCCGCCTTTATGAACAAAACAATGTTCTATAAATTATTAAATAAAAACAATATAATAAAAAAAATAAAAAAGACCCCAAAATTGACCGGTAGTGTATGTAGCTTTACGACTAAGATGAGCAATCTTGTTGCAAAGTAATACATTACTATTGCTTAGTAACAGATAAAAAACTCAAGTTTCCATGAGAAAAAAAAAAAACACATTTTCTAAGCTTGCAAATGAAATAAAGCCAGTCAGGACTGTCATGCTATTATGGTTTAAAGTGCAAACGTCGCATAAGTGTAACAATAGCACCATTAACACACACAGACTTCCCAGGAATCTACTGGTAAACTGCAGTAAAAACATTATGAGTGAACAGAAATAATAATAATAATAAATAAATAAATGTTACTGTAATTTTTCGAAATTAGGAACACTATTACTGTAAAAAGAATTCTGCGTTTACACACTGGAGAATCCCATCAATTTACTGGTAAACTCAGTAGATTTTACAGCAATGGGGTATATGCACAGCTAGTGTTTTTCAGCCAATGATAAACTTCTGGTGAAAGGTTTATGCAACTTCAATTTCACAAGGTTCCTTTTACAGCATCAATGTAGTAATGTATTTGCAATACATTCAGTTAAGTAGACTTAAGCATTCCTTTAGTTGTTAAACCGCAAAACGAGGTGAGACTGTGTAAATTCTAGCTTCGTCAGTTCCAGCAGGCAAGAGCAGAAACTCCATTGAAAATTCATTCATTCATTTTCTTGCCGGCTTAGTCTCTTTATTAATCCTTGGTCGCCACAGCGGACTGAACCGCCAACTTTATATAGCATATCTATCAGGCAGTGAAGATAGCTGATTTTTAAAGAAATCAGACCTTAAACGTGGCAATTTTATAAAGGAAAGACAGTTCACCAGAAGCACTGAGGCTGGCTGTCTGAAATTAAAAGTCTGTGTGAATATACCCCATTTACAGTGTGAAAGAGGCTAATGACAGTTAGGGGCTTAAAATAAATTTTACAATTTTTTTTATTATTTTAAAATAAGAAAAAAGTAGAATTTTGTATTGAAATCATCTTTTTTGAGGTTATATCAATGGACGTGCATTAACATTCACAGTGTGTATGTCTAATTTCTCTCCGTCTTCAATCCTCTCCTGTCCCTGCTCTACTCCTGACTGTGACGGATCTGCCTTTGCACAGTTTCTGCACACCATCGATCCTACCTGCCGGACCCAGTGAGCACTATAAACGCTGAGGACAGGATTTTAAAGGAGGCCTCCACTGCCCCGATGGCGATGGCCTCGGCGGGGTCGGTGGAGAGTGGCAAACAGCGCCGCAGGTCCTCAAACACCTGCCGATGAAACATGGCAGCCTCTGCCTCCCGAGCGATCTGATGCGGCCCGTCACCAGAACAAACACACACACCGGTGCAAAACACACATACACACGAGGAGAGGGAGGTGTGGGGAGATCAGGTGTAAGATCCGAAAAAGAGGGGAGAGACAGAAGAGAAAAGAGGAACACAAAAAGGATGAAATTAGTGCAGGTGTTAGTTCAGAAGAGAAGATTAGTAGAAACAAAACAAAATGAATATTAAAACACATTCAGACTCATATAAATGCAAATTAAGATTAATTAGATACAGCTAAACCACCACCATTACTATTATAATATGGATGTGAACTAAAGCCGTGGTGAGAAATCAATGCATTGTGAGAATTTGATAGATTGAGATTTTCTGAATGCAATCCGATCATCTCGAATCAATTCTGAGCTTAGTTAACCAACAGATGGCGCTGTTTGCTTTAAACAGCCTCCAATTTAATAAACCGAACTTCATTGATAACTATTTTAGGTACGAGTGGCATGTGTAACCCAAATGCACAAGCACTCAGTTCAGACACATTTGAATAAAATGTGGTTAAAACAATACCTAGACAATAACAGTAGGAGGTTAAAACCTAGCCTAGAGCGCCATCTGCTGTTTAAAAAAAAAGTAGCCATGAGCACTGTCCGCTAGAGGTCTGCATTACTGCGGCTGTACTGTGGGAACAGCGGGACCTGATCAGATTTCTTGCGGCACGGGAATAATTTTCCAAATAAAGCACGGGAGCGGTCGGTAACTGGTGTAATTTTGGACTCGAGCAGGCGGTCTAACAATATCGTTCCCAACTCCAGAGCGAGCGAGCATGGGTATGTATGCATGTGTGAATGAGACAGCGTGATGCTGCGTTTAGCTTGTTTGTTGCTGTCTCTGTGTGTGTGTGTGTGTGTGTGTGTGTGCGAATAAGAGAGAGCGAGATCTTTGTGCTATTTGTGCGTGTATGTGTGTGAATGAGAGAGAGTGTGATGATGTCTGTGTGTGTGTGTGTTTATACAGTGTGTTATAGGCTGTCTGGACTCTGTATAGCTGGGTGGTTTTCGGTTTTGTCCTCCCTCCGCCAATTAGTGGGAGCGGGCGCGGCGGGCAGAAAACAGAGCGGGTCGGGCATCGGGAAAACGAATGCTGAACTAAAGCGGGAGCGGTCTGGTTCGGACTAAAACCTGGTGGGCGCGCGCGAGAGCGGGATTTAAAATTTAGTCCCGCGCAGATCTATACTGTCCGCTGTTAAACACTAGCCTAGAGCAGAGGTTCCCAAACTTTTCAGCCCGCGACCCCCAAAATGACAATGCCAGTGATTCGAGACCCCTCAATATCCTCTAAGGTGGTTATAAATACAGAAACTTTGCATGTAATGGCGCACACACACCAATAGACGCAAGTATATTCTTCGTTTAATTTTTTTAATGTATGTCAGTGCTGTAAATGGGCCAGAAGGTTTAATCTGGTGTTATAAAATCAATCTGCTGCATCTGACACCACTGCTGTCTTTAATATAATGCAATTACCCCAGGGGTCGCGATCGAATAAGTAGAATAGAATAAGTAACTATAAGCTACAGTAACTATATTAGTATATAGTAACAATAAACAACTATTTTTTTCTCTTCAGTAGGTTATGGATCAAAAATGGTAACTCTTATGGTTTAATAAAAATAAGTTGATTTTTGGAAATCACCAGGCGACCCCCCCTTCATTGTCCCACGACCCCTCGGGGGTCCCAACCCCCACTTTGAGAACCACTGGTCTAGAGGGCTGTCTAATGGTGCATTCAACCATACACGGATGAAGCATCAAGCACGAGTGATATACATGTTGAATCATTTAATACAAAGATGCAAATAGACATCCTGCGGCCCGATTCGCACAAATAAAGCAGCGTGAATTGAGCATTTTGTGTGTTTGACGTGGTTCGCTCAAGTCGGAAAATCTGAACAAGTTAACCAATCAGACGCTTTCACTTATGGGGCGTGATTATGACGGTGCTTGTTGTCGATGTACCAAGGGAAAATCCTCTTGCCGACACCAGACAACAGCTCATCAAACTGGGCTCGGCTCAGTCTGAAGCACAGCTGGAAGCCTCCATCATCCAGGTATAGTTTCTGGAGGAGTTGATGAACTCGCAAAACTGGGTGCACCTCTACAAAGGATGTAGTAGACTCAGACACAGTGCTGAATGAATCTACACGGTTTATCAGCCTTCCTAAAGCACAGCTAGCCTCTCAATAAAATGCATGTTAGACATTTAACATTAGCAAATAAACTAGTTATCGGGCAGACAGAAAGCCCTCCCATGATGCAATTACGTCTATCGTTACGTGAATTTGACACGTGAATGAAGCAAGTGAACTCAAAATGTTCACGTTATCCATTTACGCGCAAATATTGCGATTTATTATAGCATGCTGCATCTGGTGTGAACACAGCATCATGCTAAACATTAGCCTGGAGTGCCGTTTGCGGTAAAAAAAAAAAAAAAAAAAAGCTGAGCATCTTCTGCTGCTTAAAAACTAGCCTAGAGCGCCATCTGCTGGAAAAACTAGCCTAGAGCATTGTTTACTGCTAAAAAATACTAGTCTTGAGCTCCATTTGAAGTTCAAAACTAGCCTAGAGTGCAGTCTACGGTTTAAAAAATAGCCTAGAGCGATGTCTGCTGTTGAAAACTAAGCTCAGATTTTGCGTCACGATTCTCTTTGTAATGCATTCTGATAAATAATCCTCAAAATCGCAAAGCATCAATTTACCACCACAATTCTAAATTAAACAATGACCACTCGAGTGTACATGAAATGGATGTGCGATATCAGGACTAGAGAAATTGATGTCATGCAAAATGAAGTGCTTTAAAAAAAGGTCAGAATAAAAAACAATTTTAGAAAAATGACTAAAACATGCAAGTACAAACAAAGGAGAGACAAGCATGCAGATTATCAGAATTTCAAGAAAACACAAGATAAAGTTTATTGTTTAGCTGCATTTTCCAGGAGTTAACAGCCACATATGAGTGATTTCTGGGTAAACGTGACTGCTAACTCAAACATGCCAACCTTGAGCACAGCGCAGAGCACACGGATGTGAAAAAATGTCCTACGCTCAGACAGAGAGAATAAATCAAATGTTAAAATGGATATGAGCTTCAGTGAAGGCTGTTGTCTGAAACTGACCCTGACACAACTGAGACGAATAAGACTAGCTAGTGAAGACAAAACACATGCGTATGAGAGACAAAAGTGATGAAGGATGCTGCAGCGTTAAAGAAATATTACGGGTTAAATACAAAACATGCAGTGGGATCCATACGTCAGCGTACAATGGGTCAAATTGGATTATGGTACACAAATTGATAAATCACAATAAAAAACAATTTGAAAACTTATAAATATTTATATACATATTTTGTGTATGATTTATTTTTCTTCCACTTTTGACTTATTTTACTAGAACAGAAATGTTTCGGTAAACGTTACTAAAATTTCAACAACTTTAAAATTCACATGGATTTTTCAGGCTGCTTTCACACCTGTAGATCGATTGTTTTGTTTCAAAACTGGGATTAAAATTGTTACGATGTTTATTTTTGTTCCTAGTGTGGTTCGCTTTTACACAGTAAAGTTTAGTAAAGTAACAGACCAAAATAGTTAAAACATGTCACACGCGAGTAAACTTTCAGTGTTAATTTTCGGTTCCACAGATTCCGCTCAGCTGTCATGTCTCTATTTTAATCTATAATAATAAGCAATAAGACATAAGCAAAAAGGTGCACTTTAATTTTGACACCCACAGACATTACCACTAAAAATAAATCAGAGAGGTCAGACTTATCATACAAGGCCTCATTTTAGTTTTGTAAAAATTTATTTATTACATCAATCAATCAATCGAAAAACATTGGCCAGAATACTGCATAAACTGAGACCACAATTAAATCATGAAGCAGATCAAGGATGATCTTAACTTTTGAGGTGTCAGTGCAGAAATAAATAAATCAATAGACCAAATACAAAATATTTTAAGATTTAAATAATGGAAAAATTATCAGATGGTAATTTCGGTATTGGTTCGTTGGATCGTATTGCTTTCTCACTACAACCGATCTGCTCCAGAGCTCGTTTGTGTCGAGCCAAGACCACCTCATTCAGGTGATCTCGGACCAGTGGATTTGGCTCAGATCTGAGAGCGATTTCGGGTTTCACATATGCTAAACGTACCATACTAACTGGGCAAACGAGACCGGTTGCAAAACAGAAGTCTTGGTGTGAAAGCACCCTCAAATTAATATTTGACTCAGTGTTGCAATAAGAAAAAAATGCATTCAATTAGAAAAGGACAACACTGTTTATAAAAACAAATTTGACTTTACTTTTCTGAATATTTCAAGTGCAAGCTTCACATTTTGGCTTAAAAATCTACCCCAGATCTCCACTGAATAGATTAATTTCAGCAAACAAACTCAGTAAACGGATCTTAAAAGGGACTATTCATCCAAAAATGAAAAAATGTACCCAATATTTAATTACCCTCAATTGGTTCCAAACCTTAAGAGTTTCTTTCTGCTGTTGAACACAACACAAGCTACTTCGAAAGATCACGGAAACCTGTAACCATTGACTTTCATAGTGTTTTTTTTTTCTACTATGAAAGTCAAAGTTTTCAGCATTTTTTGAAGTATCTTCTTTTGTGTTTAACAGAAGAAAGAAACTCAAACAGGTTTGCTACAAGTAAATGAGTAAAGAGTACATTTTGGATGAACTCTCTCTCTTTAGGTTGCATTTATCCCATAAAATTCCTTCAGCATTTTTTTTTTTTAGAAGAGTAAGTAATGAGTGAACACATGAGTGAGGGAAGGGTTGTCTATCTAACAGTGTTAATGTGTGTGTGTGTTTTTGTGTCAGTAGATGGCGCTCTCACCATGTGCTGTGTGCGGACGGCCTCCAGAGGATAATCTCCTTTAGCGGTCTCTCCGCTCAGCATAATGCAGTCGGCTCCGTCCAGAACTGCATTGGCCACATCACTGCCCTCCGCACGTGTAGGACGAGGCTTCTTGATCATGCTCTCCAACATCTACGACATGCATGAGTTCACAACAACATCATTTACTATGGACTGCACAATCTATTTTTTCAGCATTGATATCGCAATGTGTGCATTAGCAAGTCACATCGCAGGATATGTTGCTTTGAGTTATAGTTGATCAGCACCACAGTAGGGTATATGCCGAAGCATGCTAATAGGACTTTTAATTTGCCAGTAACCTGGGTTAAGCGCTTCCGGTCAACTGTACGCCAATGCAAAAATTGGCGCATTTAAGGTCAGTTTTCTTTAAAAGTCAGCGATCTCCACTGGCTGAGTGATATCCGATATAAAGTGGGTCTCAGATTGTACAAGAAGCACTGCATTACATTACATTTCCCCCCGCCATGTCTTTGTAATGAGCATTTATTTTACCCCAGTATATCCAATGGAGCTTCTGCGCTATCCTGCTGATTCTGACGGGTAAACGGCATTTTGTCTCGTTTTACGCTTGAGCAACTAAATGAATGCCAAAGCTTTTTTTAACTAAATGTATTTTAATTACATTACAACATTGATGCTGTAAAAGGAACTGTATAAATTAGAAAAAAACTCACAATAACAGATCACCGGAAGTTTATCAGTATGGGAAAAACACTAGCTTGACATATACCCTATTGAGATATGCATGAGATTACGCTTAATCAAGCTTAACCAAAACAGGAGCGAATGTTTATCATTTGCATGTGTTTTAAAAGCATTACAAGAGAGATTGAAGCATTCAGGAACAAAAAAGTACAATATTTGCAACTTTAATAAAACATTTCTCCTTAATAGATACAGTTTTTTACATTTTACATTACAATTGATTATATGATTTCTATATCTAAATACTGTTTTAATCCAGAAATTACCCTTTGTTTTACTTCATTCTTTGCTTTATAGCATTTTCTTTTGCTAGCAATTTGTCCATGATTCATTCCCCTACAAAAATCCCCATAATCAGTCTAAATTCAAGATTTCTTTCCAAAAAAACTACTGCACAATATACTTGAAAAACTATTCATGACTGCGAGGAGTCTTGTTAAAGGTAATTAGTTATTTCTCTATGCCTTACATGAATATATATATATATATATGCACACTCATAAACTACAGCAGCATCAAACAGACATCTGTTTTTTTCATCTGAAAGTTAACATTAATGAAAGCAAAACATTGGGATGGGGGGTGGGTCTAAATTTCAGACTTATATATTTGTTGTTCTATAATCTTTATGTAGCTTACATGAATTAAAAAAAAAGCTTAATTCAGCTAACAATTCCATTGATTCACAAAGGGTTCATACCAGTTATTCTCAGATCACATGCTCTTGTACATTTTATAAAATTATTAAAAAACTAGGACTGCACAATTAGAAAAATCTGGCATTGCAATATTTTGTTTTTCTGCGATTATATATTGACTACAATTTCAGCAGATGATGCTGGAAAATTGTCATTTTTGATTTAATGGTATAGTCCTGTAAGAGAGTGCATCTGCATAACATATAAAAGACTCTACACGCATAGATAAATGCAATAAAGTATAAAAAAAAACGATACAAACAATAAATTGTTTTCCGAGGAGTCTAACTGTTTTCAGGTATAGAATAATTAAATGTGAAATATTACTGCATAATCTTCCCTTTATACATAATTTATTAAAATAAATGAAGTTGTAATTGGTACAATTTATTAGGCCTAAATGCTTTAAGATCCTCATTCAGTCACAAACCTCAAAAACACATGCAAATTATCAATTATAAACCAGAGTCAGCATTTCATATCCTGCAATGTGACCATTGTGAATGATCACACTGCGGTATCAATGCTGAAACATTATATTGCGCATCCCTAATAAACATCTAATAATTTTCTAAACAATATTGAACATTTAACAATTCTGCCTTCAATAAAAACCTCCTAGATGATGTTTTTTTTTTCTTATAAATGCGAGTTAATATGGGGGTGTATTGTAGGGTATGGGGTGTATAGTCTGTTGACCTGTGTGGCACAGATGATTGGCTTTCCTGCCTTGTTGCAACGACCAATCATCATCTTCTGAGCCAGAAACACCTTTTCCGTGGGGATTTCAATTCCTAGATCACCACGAGCCACCATGATGCCGTCGCTGGCCTCCATAATCTCATCAAACCTGACAAACAACGATGCATTAAAATCAGAAACATAAAATGTATAATAATAATAATAAATAAAACAAAACACATTCAAACGATCAAACATCTCTCACATACATACAATCCTCCAATATTTACATTTACTTTCTATTGTTATTTTTACTATTCTAAGATTATTATACAACTATAAGCCAAAAGACCAAAATCAACTGTTTAAGGATTGAATGCCTGAACTTGATCGAATGACATATCACACCAGAAACCTTCGTGCATCGAGGATTCAGGTCTGCAAAATGTAATGTGCTTGAGGGTTAATAATACTTCATATGTAGTTTGAGAAAGCGATATAACCCACTGACCTGCGCACTCCCTCATGGTTCTCCAGCTTGCTGATGATCTTGATGTTTTTGCCCTTTTCTCCCAGCACTTTTCGGACTGCCTGCACATCAGCGGCCTTGCGGATGAAGGAGGCGAAGATCATGTCGACTCCCATCTCCACACCGAACTGCAGATCCTTGATGTCCTTCTCTGAGACTGCAGGCAGATCCACTGCGGCTCCCGGCAGATTCACACCCTTCTTACTGCCCAGAGATCCTCCATTCTCAATCTCACAGATCAGATAGTCAGACCCTGAGCAAAGAGGAGTGATTTTTTTTTACATTTATTTAAATAATAATAATAAAGCTATTTTTAAATTATTTATTTTTTAATTAAATTTATCCTTTTTTTTGTATGTACAGATTCATTTTTTTTACTTGCATAAATTAATTTGTAAAATATTTATTACAACACTATTATGTTCATTATTCATGTAATACTGTGCAATAAAGCTCATTTAAATTTAGAGTGATAATTTTATTCAACAATGTCTTGTTTATTAATTATACCCATTAATTTCCCAATACATTGATTTTTTTTTTACATCTGATCCATTAATTATACATTTTTTAAATAATTGATTTGTTTGTTATTTATTCATGTAATACTGTGCAATAAAGCTCAATTCATTTATAGCAAGTGATAATTTTAATAAATGTTATCTTATTTATTAACTATCCATTTATTTTGTTGTATAAAGTATAGATGCATATTTTTACTTGCATAAAATAGATCTGTAAAATATTAATTAAATAATGCTATCACATCAATAATCAAACAATGTTTTAGTTCTTTTAGGTGTTCCAATATTATAAAGATGTCCAATTAACGTAATTCTGCTAGTATTGTTTAGCCATTTTCAGTTTGTACACATTGAAAAACACTTTACATACATTTTTCTGTTTAAAACAATAACCTTGCTCCATTTAAAAATTATACAGAATAAAAGAACGTGTGCATGTGTGTGTGTATACACACACGTCCTTTTATTCTGTATAATTTTTAAATGGAGCAAGGTCCTATATGTGTATATAAATATATATAAATATAT